TTTTAAATATTTGTCAGGATGCTAAACTGCATTTGAAATTCAGTGGCAGCAAAGACATCATGTCCAACATGCTCATGGGAGTTTGAAACCATTTTACAGTTTTGACCAATTGGAGGTGAATTAGTATGATGTCATTCATCTGGTTTCGACCGACTGAGGGTTATGTTTAGGGGTGGGCTATCATGCTATAATCCTTTATTACATCTTTTTGTTAAAATATAAATAAATAATCAATCCAAAACTGTAAATTAGTTACGTTTTTTAATAAAACTCTTCTTAATGGCTATTTAATACTTACACTCACCTAAAGGATTATTAGGAACACCTGTTCAATTTCTTATTAATGTCATTATCTAATCAACCAATCACATGACAGTTGCTTCAATGCATTTAGGGATGTGGTCCTGGTCAAGACAATCTCCTGAACTCCAAATTAAATGTCAGAATGGGAAAGAAAGGTGATTTAAGCTATTTTGAGCGTGGCATGGTTGTTGGTGCCAGACGGGCCGGTCTGAGTATTTCACAATCTGCTCAGTTACTGGGATTTTCACGCACAACCATTTCTAGGGATTACAAAGAATGGTGTGAAAAGGGAAAAACATCCAGTACGCGGCAGTCCTGTGGGCGAAAATGCCTTGTTGATGCTAGAGGTCAGAGGAGAATTGTCACGGTTCATGAATCAGCTGTCTCAGGCTGATGTGTCTGTGTGAGTGTAATCGTGTGGGTGTGGTTACTCGTTGTGTTGATTAGTGTCACCAGCTGCCATTCATTTCAGTCCCTATATATACCCAGCATTTTCTCCCTCTTGTTGTCAGATCGTTGTGGTTGTGTTTCGGTGTGTTCCTGTGCTCGTGCCTCGTCTGTGACTCTTCTGGATTTCGTCAGTACTTCGTGTTTCCTGGATTTCATCAGTTCCTCGTGTCTTCTGGATGTTCCACTTCCCTGGGTTTCACTCGAGCACGTCTTCACCTGTCTTCACCACCGGATCGCCATCTCGTCCCTGCTTCACCCACCACCTGAGTGTTGTCCCCGATCTGTGTCTTACATTTGTCATTTCTGACCAACCAATAAACTGAGTTTATTTGCATCTTGCATCCTCCCATCTATTCCTCACAGAACGATCTGACCAAACCATGGATGCAGCAAATTCATCACAGATCAATGACTTCATCGCTCACAGTATCGCAAGGATGGATCAACAGGAGGAGAATATCTCTGGCACAGGTCGTGCGGTGCAAGCACTCGTGAAGCAGGTGTCCGAGCTCACCCAACAGGTACAGCTTTTACGGACTCCCACTGCGCCCCCCACGCCGCCCGTCCTCCCACCACCAGCGCCTGCAGCAGCGGGGAGATCAGAGCCACGCCTACCCACACCTGAGGGATATTCCGGTGAGTTTTGCAGAGCATTTCTCACTAGATGTTCTATGCACTTTGCCTTACAGCCACACACCTTCCAGAGCGAAGAGGCGAAGGTGGCATTTGTGCTAACCCTGCTGTCAGGAAGAGCATCGCTTTGGGGGACGGCGGTGTGGGAGAACAAGGACGACTGCTGCGCCTCGTTCCAGGCACTCTCCGAGGAGATGAAGAGAGTGTTCGACCGTGCAGTGGCGGGTAAGGAGGCGGCCAGATTACTCGCCGAGCTGCGACAAGGAGAAGGCTCGGTGGCGGACTTTTCCATCCGGTTCCGCACCCTGGCCGCAGAGTGCCGTTGGAACGAGGCGGCGCAGTGGGATATGTTCCTGCATGGGTTGGCTGACCGCGTTCAAAGAGAGATCTATGCTATGGATTTACCTGAGACACTGAATGGACTGGTGGAACTTGCGCTGAGAGTGGACGCTCGACTGAATCGTGTAGCCAGACTGACGCGCCCCAGCCGCCCAGTGTTTGGCGCAGAGGACCACCAACCCGGTGGTGCGAGCGCGGTCAGCCCCACAAACGACCACGAACCCATGCAGGTGGGGAGAGCTCGGCTTTCCCGGGAGGAGAGGGAGAGGCGGAGATCCCAAGGACTCTGTCTCTACTGTGGCCGGGCGGGCCACTTCATCCACTCCTGCCCGGTAAAAGAGCAAGCCCGGTAGTAAGTATGAGGCTACTATCGGGTGGGATCTCCGCCGAGAAGACCTCATCAACATCAACCCTCCTCCCGGTAAGACTGAGATGGCGACAATCAACGCACTGCACCAGCGCACTTCTGGATTCGGGAGCGGAGGGTAATTTCATGGACTTCAGACTAGCACATAGACTTCAGATCCCCGTCACACCCCTCTCGCACCCGATTATCGTCAACGCACTCAATGGTCAAGAACTTCCCCGCATCACTCACGTTACTGAAGACATTACTCTCATCACTTCCGGAAATCACACTGAACTCATTTCATTTTTTCTCATGGACTCACCACTTGCACCAGTGGTTTTGGGTCACCCGTGGCTTTCCAGACACAACCCCCGGGTCGACTGGTGCACTAACACTGTTTCCACATGGAGTAACCACTGTCATGAGTCCTGTTTAGTGTCTGCCTGTCCATCTGTGTCTGGTTCTGTGTTTCAGAGTGAGGTAGCGGATTTATCTAACGTGCCCGCGGAGTACCACGACCTGAAGGAGGTGTTCAGTAAGTCTCGTGCTGCTTCTCTTCCTCCGCATCGTTCCTATGACTGTGCGATAGAGCTACTGCCAGGTAAATCTCCGCCTAAAGGCAAACTTTACTCTCTTTCTATTCCCGAGAGGGAGGCCATGGAGAAATATATTTCTGATTCTCTGGCCTCTGGGTTCATCCAGCCTTCCTCTTCTCCTGCGGGGGCGGGGTTCTTTTTCGTTGGGAAGAAGGATGGTTCTCTGCGACCTTGCATTGATTACCGAGGGCTGAACAACATCACGGTAAAGAATTCATACCCTTTGCCGTTGATGTCTTCAGCTTTCGAGAGGTTGCAGGGAGCATCTATTTTCACGAAACTGGACTTACGTAATGCATATCATTTGGTCCGCATCAGGAAGGGGGATGAATGGAAAACCGCTTTTAATACCCCTAGGGGCACTTTGAATATTTGGTCATGCCTTTCGGTCTGTCCAACTCCCCAGCGGTTTTCCAGGCACTCGTTAATGACGTGTTGAGAGACATGGTAGACCAGTTCATATATGTTTACCTGGATGACATATTGATTTTTTCTTCGTCTCTCCAGGAACACGTGCAACACGTCAGACGAGTGCTCCAGAGACTGTTGGAGAATGGGCTTTTTGTCAAGGCGGAGAAATGTTCGTTTCATGCACAGTCTGTTCCCTTCCTAGGGTACATCATCTCTTCCGAGGGAGTGCGCGTGGATCCTGACAAGGTTAAGGCTGTGGTAGATTGGCCAAGTCCAGATTCCCGTAAGGCCCTACAGCGGTTTCTGGGGTTCGCCAATTTTTACCGACGTTTCATTCGTAACTTCAGCCAACTAGTCGCGCCTCTGACTGCCTTGACTTCCCCCCGAACGACGTTCAGGTGGTCAAACACTGCTGAGGCAGTGTTCACCAACCTCAAAAGTCGCTTTGTTTCGGCTCCCATTCTTGTCACCCCTGATCCCACACGTCAGTTCGTGGTGGAGGTCGATGCGTCAGAGGTGGGAGTAGGAGCAGTACTTTCACAGCGCGCTTCCTCAGACGACAAGTTGCATCCCTGCGCGTTTTTTTCTCATCGACTATCGCCTGCCGAACGTAATTATGACATTGGTAATAGAGAGTTGTTGGCAGTTAAGTTAGCGTTGGAGGAATGGCGTCATTGGTTAGAGGGTTCGGGGGTACCCTTTATCGTTTGGACCGACCATAAGAATCTTGAATACATCAGAACTGCTAAAAGACTCAACTCCAGGCAGGCTCGGTGGGCTCTTTTTTCGGACGCTTTGATTTTGTTCTCTCGTACCGCCCCGGGTCCAAAAACATCAAACCCGACTCTTTATCTCGTATTTTTGATCCATCCGAACGCCCGGTGACTCCCGAGTGTATTTTACCTGAGAAGGTTGTCATCTCCACTCTGGTATGGGAGGTCGAATCGAAGGTCATGACAGCCTTAGATGGGGTAACGCCTCCGCCCGGTTGCCCACCGAGTCGATTGTTTGTTCCGGAGGGGTCACGGTCCGACGTTATTCGGTGGGGTCATTGCTCCAACGTGGCTTGTCATCCAGGAGTGACTCGCACCAGTTTTCTAGTTAAACAACGATTTTGGTGGCCACTGATGGCTCGCGACATTCACGATTTTGTGTTGGCTTGCTCAGTCTGTGCCACTAGTAAGACATCTAACCAACCCCCAGATGGGTTACTTCGACCACTGCCTGTCCCTTCGAGACCCTGGTCCCACATCGCTCTAGATTTTATCACCGCCCTCCCGCCCTCCAATGGCATGACGGTTGTTTTAACCGTAGTGGACCGGTTCTCGAAGGCGGCTCATTTCATCCCCTTGCCCAAATTACCTTCAGCCAAGGAGACAGCGGTTACTGTCATAGATCACGTTTTTCGGTTACATGGCCTCCCGATGGACGTGGTCTCTGACAGGGGTTCCCAATTCATATCCAAATTTTGGCAAGAATTTTGTAAGTTACTGGGGGCCACGGTCAGTCTGTCCTCGGGCTATCATCCCCAGAGTAATGGACAATCTGAGCGAGCCAATCAAGACCTCGAAAGAATGTTGCGATGTTTGGTTGCTAAGAATCCGTCGTCCTGGAGCCAACAACTTTCTATGGTGGAGTACGCCCACAATTCGTTACCAGTGTCATCCACGGGCCTCTCGCCATTTAAGTGTAGTTTAGGTTACCAGCCACCAATTTTTCCGAGTCTGGAATCTGAAGTCGCGGTCCCCTCCGCTCACGCATTCGTCCAGAGGTGCCACCGTACTTGGACTAGAGCCCGTGAGACTCTACTCCAAGCAGGGAGGCGCATGAAGGCCAAGGCCGATCGCCACCGGTCAAAGCCTCCCGTCTACGTCGTGGGTCAAAAAGTGTGGCTTTCTACCAAGAATATTCTTCTCCGCTCCGTGTCTAACAAGCTAGCTCCCAAATTTATTGGCCCGTTTCCTGTCACCAAGATTATTAGTCCGGTGACAGTCCGCCTCAAACTTCCTCCTGCGTACAGGAGAATTCATCCCGCCTTTCATGTCTCTAAAATTAAACCCGTGTTTCGTTCTCACATTAATCCGCCTGCCCCGGTTCCCCCCCCCGCCGCGACTCGTAGATGGGGAACCAACATATTCGGTAAATCGTATTCTGGACTCGAGACCGAGGGGACGCGGATTTCAGTACCTGGTGGACTGGGAGGGCTACGGTCCGGAGGAGAGAAGTTGGGTACCTGCTAGAGACATCCTGGATCACTCCCTTATTGATGATTACAATCGACAGGTAAGGGAGTCTGAGAACGCCAGGAGGCGTTCTTAGGAGGAGGGGTACTGTCACGGTTCATGAATCAGCTGTCTCAGGCTGATGTGTCTGTGTGAGTGTAATCGTGTGGGTGTGGTTACTCGTTGTGTTGATTAGTGTCACCAGCTGCCATTCATTTCAGTCCCTATATATACCCAGCATTTTCTCCCTCTTGTTGTCAGATCGTTGTGGTTGTGTTTCGGTGTGTTCCTGTGCTCGTGCCTCGTCTGTGACTCTTCTGGATTTCGTCAGTACTTCGTGTTTCCTGGATTTCATCAGTTCCTCGTGTCTTCTGGATGTTCCACTTCCCTGGGTTTCACTCGAGCACGTCTTCACCTGTCTTCACCACCGGATCGCCATCTCGTCCCTGCTTCACCCACCACCTGAGTGTTGTCCCCGATCTGTGTCTTACATTTGTCATTTCTGACCAACCAATAAACTGAGTTTATTTGCATCTTGCATCCTCCCATCTATTCCTCACAAGAATGTGCCTACTGATTCAATCTGATAGAAGAGCAACTTTGACTGAAATAACCACTCGTTACAACCGAGGTATGCAGCAAAGCATTTGTGAAGCCACAACACGCACAACCTTGAGGCGGATGGGCTACAACAGCAGAAGACCCCACCGGGTACCACTCATCTCCACTACAAATAGGAAAAAGAGGCTACAATGTGCAAGAGCTCACCATGTCACAAAGCTCGAATCATTTCAAATGGGTTTCTTGAACATGACAATGAGTTCACTGTACTAAAATGGCCCCCACAGTCACCAGATCTCAACCCAATAGAGCATCTTTGGGATGTGGTGAAACGGGAGCTTCGTGCCCTGGATGTGCATCCCACAAATCTCCATCAACTGCAAGAGGCTATCCTATCAATATGGGCCAACATTTCTAAAGAATGCTTTCAGCACCTTGTTGAATCAATGCCACGTAGAATGAATTAAGGCAGTTCTAAAGGCAAAAGGGGGTCAAACACAATATGGTGTTCCTAATAATCCTTTATGCGAGTGTATTTTCTTACTTGAGAATATTATGTATGCTAAAACTTTATTTTGATGTTTAAACACTTTAAACATTCTACTAACTATAAGTACCTTTGCAAATAAATCCCAGAGAGTTTGTTGAAATTTAGTCGCAAAGTTACTTGTAGTCAGTAGAGTGTCTACCATTTAAATAAAGTGTAACCTCATGTATTCCCAAAAACACTTTTTAAGAATGTTCTTATCTTGAGACTGTTCCCAAAGGTAAGATTAAAGGGTTAGTTCACCCAAAAATGAAAATTAAGTCAGTAATTACTCACCCCCATGCTGTATCAACCCCGTAAGACCTTATAATATTTTTGATTAAATTTGAGAGGTGGATCACTGCTACATAGGCTGTCTAAGGGATAGAAACTTGACGGCCCAGAAAGTCAATGAAGAAAATGTTTAAATATTCCATGTGACAACAGTGGCGAGAATACTTTTTGTGCGAAAAAACAAACAAAAATAACGACTTTATTCGACTATTCCTTTTCTTCCTTGTAGGCCTGAAACGAGACTTCAAGAGATTTCCATGAAGCATGCACGAGAATTGCGATCTCCTCTTTTCGCTTCCTCCTCTTTTTTTCAGCGAACATAAAAACCACAATTGCCAAAGGGCAATTATTTTGCTATATTCTTCTATACTAACTTGAGTCGTAGTCTACGATTCAACAGGCATCATCATCGTACAGTCTACATACATGTCGTACCCAAGTCGTATAGTGTGATATGTAATGATCTTATAGCATTGCCGAAATTGCAGTCTGTAATAGGCACACAGTCTATAACAATAAATACAATTCAAATAAACTAACTTTTAAGATTAGTCTAAGCAGTTTATGCAACGCTGTTCCTAAAGAAATACCAACCGGTTGGCCAAATAAAACCTCAATCTTCACAATGAACATACAGTCCAGCATAAAAGGGGACAGACTCCATGTCTCAGATTTTGTTAAAACATCTTTCTTGTATTTAATTTATTATCATATATTATGAAAGTGTCTTGCCAGTTGCCACAGTCTAAATTGGTAGGAAATGTCAAGCCTTTGTCGAGCCCCCTTTAGCTTTGTGTGTTTGAGGTGAACGTCTCACTCCAGGATGCTCGCCGGAGACCGCTTCCATTGAGATAATATTTCAACAGCGGTTAAGGTTGAGAACGACGCCATTGCTCAGTTCAGTTTGTACCCACGAAAAATGCAGCATTGGCTTTTCATCTGAGGAGATAGCGTGCAGAGCACTAGGCCCACAATATCAGTCTGTTCTTTGGTTAACATGGGGTTTCATAGGCTGATCTTGCTGTGGGATACTAAGGCTCTGTTAGAAGACAGAGGTATTGTACAGTTAATGCTCATGGATTAAGTCATTGAGTGTTTGACATTTCGCAATTCTGCGCAAATGTCATTTCGCAATTAAAAAAATCTGTTTGAAATCCGCTGCGATATTGTCCTTTTAACAGTTTACTCGTGCCCTGACAGGCTATCATTTGTCAGTTGCGCCTTGCTTCTCAGTTTTCACAACACGTTTGTCTTTTCAATTTAAAAGTCTTCTCTACTGACTGACTCACTCATAAACACAGTCTTTGTCGCCATCTAATGGCGAAATAATTTAACTTCTGCAGCTGTTCACGGTCACGCTCAGGGACTATTTTTTCCAGCGGAAGGAAGGATTTTAGTGATTTTACTTCATTTAAAGTTGCACCAATACATATTTCTGTCAATTACTGTCATAATTATGTAATTATTAGGGCCCAAGCACTAATAATTCAAAAACTCACCAAATTTGGCATGCATGTCAGGACTGGTGAAAAATTTCATATTTTGTGGGTTTCGCGGATGGGCGTGGCAAAATGGCTCGCTAGCGTCACCTAGAAAATTGGAAAAAATTAGCCCCTCGTCCACGTTCAACCTACATGCACGAAATTTGGTGGGGACGTGTATCATATCAAGACGCACAAGAAAGCCTCAAAAACCCATACTGTAAACTCGACAGGAAGTCCGCCATTTTGAATTTGGCAGCCATTTTGGAACAATTTACACACTCCGTATTTTAACGAACTCCTCGTAGGGATTTAGTCGGATCGACTTCAAATTTTGGCTGTGCCTTCTAAAGGCATTGACGATGTAAAGTTGTGCTATCTGCGCGTTTTCGTCGATGGGCGTGTCAGTGGCGTCGATGATTCGCCATTAAACAGGAAGTTGTAGTAACTTGTCTGTAAATGCCCAGATCTGCACGAAATTTTACACATTTGACAAGAGTCCCACCCAGAACAAATCTACATGCCGACATTCACCCACAGTCATAGCGCCACCTGCTGGCAACAGGAAGTTACCTTTAACGAAGCAGCCCTCGCCACATGTTTGACCGACATACGAAATTTCTGTGGTACATCTACCATGTCCAGACGCACAGAAAAGTCTCTTGGAGCAATGCCCTAAACTCAACAGGAAGTCGCCATTTCTAATTTTACCGCCATTTTTGGATGATTTACTCATTACGTACTTAAACAAACTCCTCCTAGGGATTTAGTCGGATCGACTTCACATTTCTGCTGTGCCTTCTAAAGGCATTGACGATGTAAAGTTGTGCCATCTGCGCGTTTTCGTCAATGGGCGTGATCGTCCATCGACGATTCGCCATGAAAGAGGAAGTTGTTGTAACTTCAGTGTACATCCTTAGACCTGCGCGAAATTTTATACGTTATACAACAGTCCCGCCCTGAACACATGCACATGCCGAAATTAGCCCACAGTCATAGCGCCACCTGCTGGCAACAGGAAGTGACCTTTAATGAAGCAGGCTTTATGAGGAATAGGTATCTCGAACAATATTAGACTAGTATTAGATATTCTTGACTACTCTGACTTCATAACTCAAGATGGCTTCATCTCTTCATCTCTCAAGTCTTTTGATACAATACAACACCAATAGACTCAGAAGTGCATAGCAAATTCACAGCCGCACCGGCTGAGTTCCAGAATATGCAACGTGGCCGCCTCACACCCCGACGCGCTACAGGTGCGAGGGCCCGCCCATCACTGCTTGCAGCTTTAATATTATATCTGTGTTTTATTTAGTTCCTGTTTGTTATTAGCTGCTATGGTTGTTGATTGATCAGTTCATAATATTCATCTGTTTATCATTTTGTTTTCTTGTTGATTTGATAAATAATATCAATTCTGATATTTTCCCTTTGTCTTCATTTGCTGTTTTATATTTTTGCATGTTGGTCGCACCATGACTCTGACAAAAATAAATAAATAAAAATAAAAGTCAAATAAGAAGTAAAGAAGTTTTGTTAAACTATTTTCTTCACAAATAAGTGAGTATCTCTAACTATGTAATAATTTTCTTTAAGATATTAGGACAGGTTCAGGAAACACTTAAGCACTTACAATGTGTTGCTTCTGTTGATATGCCTAAAAATGTATTGAAAGCATGAGCTGAACTTTTCGGCTTTTTACATGAAGGACTAGTACTCTTTGGCAAAATAATATTTTACACAAACATCTTCCTTCATTAGAGTGTGCTTGCTTTACAAATTCATGAGTAAATCTTGATCTTTGTCAAATACTGTGTAGACGTGCAGTCTGTGCAATTCAGTTAGCTGTACATTTCATAATGGAGAGTTATCTCATCAAATCTATTGTTATACAATTGTCCTGATAGTACCTTTAGAAAAGAACAACTTTTTTTCTGGTTCCGCGGGGCATATAAAAGCCGTAAACATCTGTCAAACAGATTCTCTTGAATACAGAAGGTTGATTCTTTCAAACTCCTTAAGGTAATTACTATCAGTATAACACTTGTTCCAGCTACTTAGACGCTATGACACGGGAATCCAACGGAAGGCTAATATAATGGTGCAATCACAGCTTTCATGGGATGTGAAAGGTAATTAAGATGACAGATTGAACGGTTTTCCTTTCAGAGAACCCACTGCTAACTTGTCAATACTTGCGTATAGGCTGAGGATTGTCAGCGCCTGGGGAGAGATATGACAACCAGTCTTAGTGTGGAGATATTTGAGTTTTCTTTGGAAAATGTCTTGATTCAGAACCGATTCGGTTAGGGTTAAAAGTATATGCTTACATGAGAAATGAATGCAATTGCAGGTAAAAATTACACATTTTAGTGTTTTTTCTTTCGTCCAATTCGCCTGAAAATATCTTAAAAAGTAACTTGAAACCCTTGCCTCATTTAGTACGGTTCTATGAATATGCAAATGAGCCCTGCCTCCACTCACTCACTCAGCTCAGAGATCCATTGACAATGTTGATCTGATTGGTTACATGGTCGTTTTTGACGTCAGAAACACCAGCGATCTCAAACCGTGTTTTCGAGACTGTCTTTGGTTCACTGCAGACCCTCTAAAGTCATTAGGAGATGAATGTCTCTGACAAATATTTTTTTAACATTAAAAATGATTG